ATGGTAGAGGCCATATGGCTCATTTTGGGATATTCAAGACTTTGGATTGCCTCCAGGAACATTTCTACAGGTCACACATGGGAAGTGACGTGGAGAAGGTGTGTGCAAGGTTTCTTAGTGCCGCCAAGCCAAGTTAAGAGTTCAGCCAAACGGGTTATATATTCCTCTACCTATTCCTACTTCTCCTTAGATTTATATTTCTATGCATTTCTCATATATTATAAACCTTTGCCCTTCGGGCTCATATATTCTAAACCTTTGCCTACGAGTAAGAATGGTAGAGATTCTCTATTTGTTGTGGTTGACCAGTTTTTCAAGATGACACACTTGATCCCATGTCACAAAACTGATGATGCATCTAATGTAGCTAAACTGCTCTTTTGTGAAATTGTAAGGTTGCATGGTATGCCTCATACTATAGTTTTTGATCGTAATGTCAAGTTCTTTTACTTATTTTTGGAAAACTTTGTGGAGAATCCTGGTACTAAGTTGTTGTTTTCTATTAATTGCCACCCCCCAAACGGATGGTCAAACTAAAGTGGTTAATAGAAATTTGTCTCAAATGCTTAGGGATATCATTAAGAGTAACATCAAGACTTGGGAAGAATGCTTACCTTATGTAGAGTTTGCATATAATATGGTTGTTCATTCTACCACTAAGTTTTCACCATTGGAGATTGTGTATGGATTTCCAATTAGATTAAAGGATTTTGAGGCATGCGAACAAGCATCGACGTCCTCAACGGTTCGAACTAGGAGATTGGGTCTGGGTGCACATGATAAGGAATGTTTTCCACATGAACGATGTTTTGAGTTGCTTCCTCATGGCGATGGTCCCTTTCAAATCCTCGCCCACATCAATGACAATGCTTACCAGCCTGATCTGCCGAGCGAGTATGGTGTGAGTGCCACTGTCAATGTTGCTGACTAAGCTCCTTTCCTTGAAGACAACTCAGATTTGAGGGCAAATCCTTTTCAAGTGGAGGGGGATGATAAGGTCATCAACACCAATGTGATCACAAGTCAAATTTTGGTGCGAGAGGAACGTGAGGAAGTGGTGCATGTTCGAGGCCAAGCCACTAGAAGTCAAGCCAAGGCATTCAAGGGTCAACTTCAAGCTTATTTGGCCGAGAATTTAACAAATATGGAGGCCGAGCTGTTCGTGGGAACAGAGGTGATGGAAATCCGAGTTAACCTATTTCTGGACAATTCTTCGACCATGGAGGAGAAGACCCTTTGATGGGGAATGGAGGCCTATACTGGGGATAACGATGAGAACCACCCTCATCCGAGAAGACATAAACCCTGATCGGGAATTTGAGGGGCAGAGTGAGGATCCAGGTTGTCGCTGCTTTGCCAAACCATCGAGTTTTGCCTTTCCCTTTTCGAATTAGTTTACTTATGAACCATGATTCGGGTTTTCCTTATTCTTTTGGCCCAAAACATTTGTATCCTATGTAAGGAAACAAACTAAGTATTTTGGAGCTTAATCACCAATCTTATTTAGAACACAACCATAGCATTTGAGTATTCAAACACTATTTCTTCTCTTCTTTTTTTTATTGTGGAATCGATTCATCAAGAGGAAATCGACTTTTTCTGTTAGCAAATCACCCTAGCCGAATAGTCATTTATATACGTGGTCATCTTCCCGACGTGTGGATTTCGTTTGAGTTATTATGTGATTGTTGTACTTCTAATCGATCCCTGCTACGTTTCTGGTTGTTTAGTCCAGGAGTTAGAGCCCTCTAATCCGAAAAAGGAAAAAGGCAAAACGCAGGGCTTTAGCAAAGCAGCGCTAGCCCGGATCACCGCTCGGCCCCTCAAATGCCGATCAGGGTTTTTGTCTTCTCGCCCGAGGGTGGTTCTGATCGTGATCCTGAGTCTAGGCCTCCATTCCTCGATCAGGGGTATTCTCCTCCATGGTCGGGGAATTGGCTTAAAACAACTCAACTCAGATTGCCATCACCTCTCGTCCCACGAACATCTCGGTCTCCATATTTGTGAAGTTATGGGCCAAATAAGCTTGAAGTCGAGCCTTGAATGCATTGACTTGAATTCTAGTGATTGGGCCTCGAACTTGCACCTCTTTCTCACGTTCCTCTCGCACCAAAGTTGGACTTGTGATCGCCTTGGTGGTGACTTCCCCATCAGCCAACCTCGGCCTAACATATAACCGTTGTGGAGTCGTATTGATTCATCCCCACAATCTTTTAACCTTTAAACTTTATGGAATTCTTATTGATTCATCTCCATGATCCATAAGAGTTAAGAGCATAGATTTCTCTTCTTTTAAACTATCACTAGAGCGGGGGACTGGCGTTAGGGAACTAAGGGGTTGTTTGGAAGTTGGAATTCCAGATGATGTATTTAGCCAATACATGTAAGCAAAAGAATTTGTCATTTTTTTGTCATAAAATGAAACATAATGCTTGTATTTGAACAACATATGGGACCACCAGAATCAGTAATTATGAATAATTGTCAATCTCAACTTTCAGTAGAGATTGTGTTTTAGAGATTGTTAGCTTACTTTTTCTTCCTTATTCTTTGTGGGACCACCAAAATCATTCAATCTCTAAACAATGTATTTTTCAAATTCATACTTTAAAACGATGCATCTAATTATAATACATACATTAATTAAATATATCAATTTAGAGAATCCTAACTTCTAAACATGCTCTAACTCTTAAATTTTTCAACCTAATTTATTTAGTGGTGAAATACCTCTTAAATATTGATCTATAGATATCCATCAAACTTCAACAATAAACCATAAACGTAAAGCCTCAAAGTAAGTAATAAAAACTCATTAACATATACTTCAAATCATAACTCAAATAAATAGCATGCATCATCAAATATAAATGTAATCAAACAATGGCAACCACTTCACAAAATACTTAAAACTCGTAAGGTGTAGAATTTACTCCCCTTAAACCACTCACCTCTCAAATGCCAGTTCATTATTTCCTTTAACATGGAAACCATTTTGCTGCCTTAATTATTTTTTGAAAGAAATATTGTTGGGAAAGTAGAAAATGGAAGAAGTGGCTATGGTATCCGTTAGTGAAGTTGCTTCGGCATCCATTTGTTATGGAGGATTCGCTCCCAAGTTAAGAGATACGGGAACCTTCACTATTCCATGCTTTTGGAGATTAAAAAAAAATTGGAATCCGTTAGCAGACTTGGGGTCTAGCATCAAAACATCATGCCTACACGGATATACAATGACTTGGATATTGGACCACTAGCTCCTACTTCAATGCAAATTGAGTTGGTCAATAGATCAATTGTCAAGCCAAGAGGAATCATAGAGAATGTCTTAGTAAAGTGCGCTCATTTCGTGTATCCGGTGGACTTCGTGGTTCTAGACACAGAGGGGTATGATGCATCCATTATTCTAGGTCGGCCATTCTTGGCCACGACACGGACTATCATTGATGTAAGTAGAAGCAATCCGCTCGAAAATTGAAGATGCAATCCGCTCTAATGTACAGAAGTTGGAATGACTCAAGTTGCTCTCTATTAAAAAAAAACACATATATATATATATATATATATATATATTGGGTGCTTATTCTTGAGTTTATCAGTACTCTGACTATTTGAGATATGAGGGGTGCCGCCGACCTTGAAGATAACATCTGATTTCAACTCGGAGGAGAACATCGTCATATGTCGATCTGGGAGTTCACTTGAGCGGTGGACATCTACCCGACGAGTTTCATTGATTCATCTAATGACTTTGCTACCTTGACAAGGGAATCCGACTTCCCTTGTTTCAAGACATTCTATGAGAATGGAGTCAAGAAACACGATAGTCGTCAATGGGATGTGAAGTTATCAAAAGCCGGAGTGGAGGCTCATACACCACGTGATTGCTAGATCCGTAGGAGGGAAGAACTGGAGCAAGGGCAACCTAATCGCTCGAGACATCACCTTGTTTCATAGCATGCATCTTCCATGTTCTCTTTATCTCGGGTTGTCTATCTTATCTACCATATTCAAGCAATACGAGATGGATCACCGACTTCACGGAGTGTTTGTATAAATAGAAAGAGTTTATTGTGATTAGTTCTCTTTTGCCTAATCAATTTATCTGTAACTACTTTACCAATTTTAGTTAGTTAACAATAAAACGAGAACTCTTCTCCTTTCCCAAATTCCTTCTTCTCCCCTCTCTCACTCCGCCTTCGCCAGATTCGACATTAACTATCCTTGCAGATTGGATTCGCGTGAAAGATGCTGGTGGCCATTTGGGAACTCGATTTGGATTTGGGTGATTTGGGCAGAGGCAACGGTGCGACGAGCTTCAACCCCGTTGCTAATTGCGCAAACTAGGCGGCGCTTTTCATCCACAACAGATAAGGAACACAATTGATGTTTTTCTCATTATGTTATAAAATTGAATAGCAAAAGAAAGCCAGCCAGTAGAAAGCATGCTCATTGGGCAGCACGAATCTCTCAACATTTAACATAGACTACCCTCAAAGAACAACCACCGAGTTGACCCTCTGGAACAAGTGCCTGAAAACTAGCTAAGGGTCTTAACATTCACTCTGATTCTTCCAGGATATCTTTTTTCATCGCTTTGACAACATATGGTTGAAGGCATTGCCTCAACTTACATCCTGTTGTAGCCAACACAACCAGCAAGGCAAATAAGAAAGTCAAAAGATGGTAAACCAGATTGGAGATGTTGCTAAATGCTAAGCATGTGCCGGAAAGAGAAAGCATTGAAATAATTTCAACGAAAAATCAATAGAATAATCGTTAGTATCTAAAATGAAATTCCATGGTGCAGAAAATTACAGTTGTGTGCCTGGTGCCAGAATTGCACCATGAATTACAAGATGGGGGGAGCTTCAACCCAAATTACAAGGATTTTGCATGAATGCAGCAGATATCGACAGCTCAAAATCCAGCCCCACAGCATCGTGAGTCCATCACTCCCATTTCTCGCTTTGCTTCCATAACTCACCACTTATTTCTTATCAGTAAGGTTTGCTCTGTTTGTTGTTGTCTCTTTTCAGCTGAACCTTCAATTTCTTACCACCTAACTGGTATCCATTCATTACACCAATTGCAGCTTGAGCTACAGCTGGCGAGTCATAACTAACAAAACCTGGGGAACAACAAACACCAACCCATTACAGAAGATGGAATACATCAAAGGAACTACATTCTCAAACATAAAAACAACACTTGCATACCAAAACATTTGCTGACACCAGTTGCTTTGTCAACAAAGACCTTTGCACTCAACACCTTGCCAAATGATTCGAAAGTATTAGCAAGCTCTTGATCTCCAAATTCTTGTGGTATGTGGTATATGAACAAATTAGCACCAGGTGGACCTAAGTTGATTATGGAACGCCGGGGAAAAAACCTTGATCATTACAGCATCCAAAGATACAAGGTAGTAGTAGGCACAAAAAAGTAGACAGATGATGCAAAAGAAAGAAACACAGACCTTCAACCTGAGACCCCGAACTTATGGTGACACCCGAAGAGGATCCAGGACTACAACTGCTCCCAACTTGATGAGATGCTGAACTAGGTGAACTACCTACTGGTCGATGACTCATCATCCCTCCTTGATAAGTCATAGAATATTGAACGCCCGGGACTGCAGGGTGGAAAGCCGAGCCCACATAACTCGCTGGAGGAACACCATAATTTCTAGGGCCCATATTGGGTGAAAGGTCAGGTCTGATTCCACCGCGCAACGCGTTTCCTTGATTGATGGGGGAAATCATGCCATGGAAACCAGGTTGATTCTGCATAGGTGGCAACCGGTATGGCATGATTCCATATGATCCAGGGCCCTGTGTGGACAATACTGAATTTAGCTCTATATTTGACGATAACAACTGGAGAAGAAAAACTAATGCACAGAGAAGAGAATATCGACAGAGTTGCAACATCACTTACTTGGTAACCATAGCCATTGTAAGGGGGAACATATCCCATTGGCAAGGCTCCAACCAAGGAAGGATGCTGTAAGTCAGCATTTGGTATATTAGATGCCTGAGATTGTGCTTTCTGAGCTCTCCTAGCTTGCCTTTCCTTCTCTGTATCTGCCCATTTGACAACCAGAGGAACATTTGAACCCTATGGAGGATAAAAAAAAAAAGCATAATGGATCAGTCTTAACAGGTAACAAAATTGCCTGATATGTTAATAACACCGTGCTTTGGATGAACTCTAAGGAGAAACAAAGCGTTACCTTTAGAAAGAAAAAAAACAACCAGCAGACAAAAACAAATGAATGAGGTTTACGTAATAAGTGGGAATAACATTTGTTGGTGATTCCAGGACAACTACCTAAAAAGATGGGGCGTGCTCCACTGGTCAAGTACAAAAAAATTTACAATGACTCCAGTATTTTCTTACAAACATTATATTATATATAGTTACTAAATCCGGGGGCCAAGAAACTCTACTCCAAATGAAGAATAGAAAATAGCAGATCACTATCTAGATGTATGGCATAACATGCAGCTGTAGCACAGCAAAAAATCCTAAGAGCATAGGAAGGTGCAAGAAATGCAGGGACAAATTTGGGTAAGCACGCACCTCCATTTTATGTTTTCCATTGATAGCTTCGAGCGCTGCAAGGGCTTGAACTTTTGTCTCATACTTCAAAAAAGCACAACCTTGAGATCAGCTAGAACATTAGATTTCAGCATTTCACCAACAAAAGACCAAAAAGTGAAAGTATTAAAAGAAGCGGATACCTTTGCTAGTTTGCTGTGAACCCCTTAGAATTTGTAAGTCCTTGATTGACCCATACTTGGAGAACAAATCGGATAAGTCAGCTTCAGATACATTTTTAGGTAGCATGCCAACAAAGAGCTTGTGTTCTGAATTGCCATTTGCAAGAACAAACAATGAAAACAGGGAAGGCAAATATCACACAGAGTACAGGAACATGATACACTGAGAAATCACTGCAGTAACGTATGCACATTATTTTTACAATCAATTACAAGATGGTTATTGGAATTATATTACACACCTAAACGTTCCAACTCGCCATCTGCGTATTTCACTTGCAATGGACTAGATGCCTGAAATGGACAGAAAGAAGAGGGGGGTTGAGGCTAGAAATGAAATAACTTTTTGTAGACTGAACCAAACATGTATCACAAAAGTTTCCACTCATATGATGGACATATATGATATATGCAAAGTCACAATTTCCAAAAACTTCTTCCTCGGAAAGGTATTACTTTAGCAGTGAACCTTTTAGCTTACATTATGACAAGATGTACTTGCGATAAACAAAGCAAAAGTATAAATATAGATCTTTAGAATCCCATTTCAACCTCTATATTATCTAAAGTGCAAGTTTCATAAGATTCATCCTTATTGACTGTGCTTGACATACTAGAATATACAGTATGCCAAAACTTTTGAAGATCTATCCACTTTTGCAAGCTCATCACGGCAGTCACCCGTTGTGCCTTCTACTCCACATAACTGATGGATCATGACACTGCAACCAGATGAAAGGAACAAGTCCAGTTCCCAGAATAGAAAAATGACTAGGCCCCAGCAAGACCTGAATTTGATCCAGAACTCTCAAATTAAGTAGGCATTACGATCCCAACACAGAACCAGAAAAAGCAGCTTCATATCCCAAACCCATCAAGAACTGTTACACAAAATTACCAAGTTGGCCATCTTTGCCCACTATGCACAAACAGCCAAGGTTTGACAATGTTGGAACTAATTTGAGCCACGCAAAGAAGCTATTCCTTCTTCACAGCAGTCAAGCACTAAACAACCCTACTCATGATGAAGTGGAACCAAGTTGGCTAAATCAGAAATCTGGCGTAGAGAGGGCGTCTTGCAGATTTTTATGTTTCGACAAAAAAAAAATGTAGATAGGGAGATCAAATTTGAACTCACCCCGGGCAAGGTTTTCTTATTGTGACACGCACTGACCGCCTTATCTGCTTCGTGCCTGGATGGACAAAGCACGAAACAACACCCTGCAGAGCAGGCCAGACAGAAGAGAAGACATGAAATTAGGGCAAATCGCGAATAGAAGCCCCCATAGGAAATCACCCAGAAATGAGAAGAGGGAAATGTGGGGGGAGAGGAAGAGGAATGGGAAATGGAGGGGGAAGGGAACCTCTGGAAGCGCGCGTAGTCTTGTCTTTGATGATGTTGACCTCGTCTACCAAGGCGAACTCTTTGAACATTGCGAGAAGCTGAGCTTCCGTCATGTGCTTGGGGACTTGACCTACAAACAACTTGACGCTCTCGTCGCCGCTGGATGTCGCCTCCTTTTTATCCTCCGCCATGAATGCCTACAAAAGTGCAGACCAGTCTTTCTCCACCTCCCCTTTTTCTCTGAAGTCCTCGCAATCCCGTTTGGCGCCTTCGCACGCTCTTCTGTGGGTGTCCTCTGAGGCCTCTCCAGAATTCCACTCAACCTTTTCTTTCCTACTTGGATTCGGTTTTCTTTTCTTCTTCGTTTGAGTCGTCGCTCGCTGCGCTGGGGGAGAGATTTCTGGATGGCAAAGTTGGATCTTCGATAAAAATATTTAAGTAGTGTAATTAAATGATTCAAAAGTCAGGACTCCATCTCGCAGGAATTTACGACCCTGTCCTTGCTCCTTACAGCCTGGTGTCCAATGCCTGCACTCTCGTCTCGTGGGAGACGGTTGTACTTTGACAATTTTTTAGAAATGAAGTGACGAGAATGCCCTTCCGGTTTCGTCGCTGCTGTCCGGTTCCCCCCTCTCTTCTTTCTTACTCTCTGCAATTCCATCGGTAGCCTGGCTGGCTAGCTGGCGGGCCGGTCCCCACCAAAAGGCGCTGTCCCCTGAGAAACGGATAAAACTAAAAGATAGAGAGCAGAAGAAGAAGAAAAGAAAAAAAGGAAAATTAACAAAAACAAACAACTATGTGAAAAGACTGTCTTAAATTTCGCAAGAAAAAGTTGGACTCATCCATTTGGGAGCCGGGTCAGCTAAAATTAAAGTTGTTATTTTATTTTGTGTTGGTTTGGTTCTGTACCATCTGATCTAGATCAGATCGGTTAAAGTTCATGAGTAATACGGTAAGTAATCATTTATTTTCTGTGAGGAAATATATAATCTCTAAAAAAATGAATGAACTTGTTTAGATGATTTACCCTTTTTGTTATGAAATATATAAATTTAAATGTTATATGTGAGTATTGAAATATAATTTTAGAGGAATGATATATTTGGTTTGAAAATATAGAATTTAATGATTGATTTAGATTAATGACAAATTTAGTTATTCTTTTTTCATATGTTTTTTTAGAAGATTTTGAGAGGATGAAGATCATACAGAGGACCAAACTCGATATGTGGAAAAGGAGATTGTCAAATGTTATGGTTTTTTATTTATAGTGGGATCAATAAAGTAAAACACGTGAGAAACTCATTCATGGATATATATTGATTGCAACCATTGTATAGGAGCAAAGCATATATCTTGGATCCTGATAAGCCAAGTGGTTATTGCTCGCACTTGCTCACACACACGAGTTATAAACTCGGTACACTTCTACTCTATTACCCTAATGAGGCCAAGTATAATCTAACTGGGAGAAATAGTATAGTGGTTGACCGAAGTTTCACTATCCTAAATCCCCCTAGCCTACTCAAGAGCTCTATTGTTATCTAGTCGATTCTTTAAGGGTTTTGTTGTAACTTTACTAAACTAAACAAATTAAAACTAAACGAGATGCACAAAGACAAAGATGATACTCAGAGTTTGGTTCCTCACACCAACATACGAGTAATTACATGCAATGGATAACATACACATTTATGGCAATTGAGGCGCGAGGGTCACTAATTTTGGGCGTTGGTGCAATGATCATTGTCTTCCAACTCCTCTCCTTACCACACCTACTGACCCAATGGTCATTTAATCAGTTTTCTTAGCTAGGGATAACACATCCTTTTTAACTGGGCTTAACCCATAGGCACACCCCTCAAGTTATCGGTGATCATGTAGCCAGCCAACAAGCATCAATTAGGTAAGTCCCTCCTTAACCTAAGGGGATGAACACCTCAACCTAGGTCAAGCCCAAAAATCATCACCACATGACATACAACATGCATAAGAAAACATTCACATGCACATAAATCATGTAACAAATTAGAAACACTAATTGAACACAAATACATCATAAATTGAAGTATATCCTTCATTACATATCAGAATCCTAGTTAGGGTTTGGGGGATTAGCCCCTAGTACCTTAAGATACTAGACCATCAGAGGGGGAGAAGAAAACTTAATGACTAGAGATGTCTCAAGCTTTCCATGTTCATTCTCAACTTAATCAAAAAAATCCTCCTATGAATGTTCTCTAAGTGAAAGGAGGTAGACACAAGGCAGAAACCAAGACTCTTGATGTTGATAATGAGTGATGTTACAGTTCTATTCTACACCTTCCACAACTTTTATTCTCCTTTTGAGATTTTTTGCTTTGGGGTTATAACAATTTAATATGATTTTGTCTTTTTGACTAGGCAAGTAGGAATCCTATTCATTCTTTCTTTCATCATACGTACCTATACCTCGTCCCGGGTGGAGGGACCACAACATTGAAGATGACAGGCCTTTAAATGGCTTCAAACTGAATATGAGCATGGTCCCCATGTGCATCACCCTCTAATTGGCGTGCGATCCATCAAACAATCAATCATGCACAAGTGCTAGGAGCCCTCAAATTGTAGAAATTTGGCAATCACAAGGCTCCAAAGCATTCAAATATGTCACTCACAAATATATGTACACACCCGCCCACACTTATGCACAATATTGTCCTCAATGGAGCAAGAATAAGGGTGAAACAAAGTTACCGAATCATTGGTGAGTGAAAGTTGGATTGAAGATGGACCAATTTTGAAGGAGAGAGAGCTTCACACGAAACAAATATAAAACACAAACACATATTTGCACAAGGCGAGGTTATTACACAATCATAATAGTCAACATCACAAGATAAAAAAAACACTATGGTACTAGTTCAAAAGACAAAATAGCAAAAGAAGAGTGTAGAGTCAAAGTGGGGAGAAATGAGATGGTAGTATGATGATGCCAGCATGGCACTCAATTAGTGGTGACTACTTCTGGTGATGAGGCGACAATGCCAATCAGGGTCCTGGAGAGAGATACCATGAGCGCGGACTAGCTCGTCCTCCAAACGTTGTGAATGACGCCGGGCATCCCGCTATCAGGCGAGCTGAAATGAAACTCAGACAACCTAGTCCACGAGAGCATAGACTCCGGCCTCAAGGTTTTATCGAGGATGAAGGACTGGCTACGGATGATGATGAAGCACCAGTATGGCCACATCGCCACGGTGGTGGAGCTCTCTAGGATGACTCTCCAACCGCCTCCACCATTGGTCGGAACATAACTAAAGATCAGAAGCCATCGATGAACTGAATACCTTTCTCAATGGACAAGTCGCATGTGGTGGAGTATCTAATTCGCTGCCTCTACAACACTATCTCAAATATAGGCTAAGTGCAACCTATAATTGGGTGTAGGATAAGATAAGTATTTCAATATCAACCCAAACAGACTATCTATCCTTACTTCAACCGTTCACACGTTAAATAGCGATCGAATTATGGTTAAAACTAAATGAACTAAAAAAACAAGCAAAGTAAATATTGGTGAATTCAAATGGGAAAGGATCACTATGACAATATTACCCCTAGTTCATGTTGAGATGAAATCGCGACACTCTAATGCAATAGGTAAGTGTTCATATACTATTAGGAGTGCTAAAGTAGCTAGGATCCCCTATTTGAGTGCATCCTAGCCTGCTCGGTTGATCTAATTGGAGGGTCGTGCCTCATACCTGCAAAAGACAATCAAGGAAATCAATTCTACTCTCTAGAGTTAAAGTCGGAACGGCGCAAAGTAACCGATCACTCTAAATCATGGCGCTCTACGGTAATTGAGGATTGACCCGAATTGCCTAAGGGGATATTTTCCCTCCTAGGTTAATTTACCCAAAAATTGAAAGATTTGATCAAGAACGCCCAATTTCATGAAAATATATCAATCACGTGTATAAATCACAATACCCATTCACAATAGAGTTCACAATCCTACAATCTATAACATATCAAACTAGGGTTCCTATCATCCAACTGATAAGGAGGACTAATACATAGCTAGAAGAGAAATAGTAACTAAGATATAGTAAAAACCCATCGAAAAGTGATTCTCCCTCTTTCTAGATGCTTGATTCAATCCTTGGAGCATAAATCTACCCACTAGTGATCTTGGGTAAGTTAATTTCTCCTCATTTCCTTCCTTGCTCTGAGCTTTTTTTTTTATGAATGATGAAACTTTTTATTAGAACAACAACAGTTCCAACAGAAAATAAAAAAACAATAACCAAAAGAAAAAAAGGAGCACCCAAAAAAATGAGAAAAAACTAAAAAAAGAAAGTAAAAAGGAAGAGAAAAAGGCAACAGCCAACCAAGACGAGCAAAAAGAAACACAAGGCAACTACTCAACCAGCAGTAGAGCAATCTATCAAAAGAAAAAGGGGAAAAGTAACCAAAAAAAACCCAAAACAAAGAAGAAGAAAAAAAAGCAAATGTCAAGTGGAGTGATTCGTCGCAGTCGTCAGCCACTGATGAAAGTGGATATCTGAGATACGATTGAACGCTCATAGCCACTAACCGACCATATGACCGATCTTGTGGCATATCACTTGAGGAGAGGTCTCGGCATCTCTAAAAATCCTATCATTTCTCTCCATCCAAATGTACCAAAACACCGCATGAGGGACCAATTTAATGCGATCTCTAAATCGTGGGTCACCCCAAAAGCTTCTCCAAGCTATGAGAAACTGATGCTTAACAAGAATTCCAAGACCATGAAGATAAAAAGCTTTTGCCAAGCTTTCCCAAATTTCTACTGAGAATGGAAACAAGAAAACGATATGTGAAATTGGCTCCTCGTGGAATTCGCAAAGCGAGCACCAATTCGTAAGAATTTCTCTATTTTAGTCAAGTTATCAAGGGTAAAAATCTTTCCATGAGAGACCATCTAGAGGAAGCATCATACTTTTGAGGAAACACGAGGACTTCACACCAACTTGAAAGGAAAAGCAATGTTGCCTCCGAATTTTCTCTCTTTATGCTTGAAGAAGAACCATCACTCTCTCTAGAACTCGCCCCTTCAAATTCAGCTCACTCTTCTTTATATAGCTTTTGCATGCTCATATCCCGGTCTCACATCACACCTGTGAAGTCGGTATTGAAACCGTGATCTCGAAAACTTCATGTATTGCTTGTTGACTTCACGGTTTGGAGACCGTAATCTTTGCTACACCCGCGAGCCACGCAAACCCTCTTGGAAGTGTACAGACTTCACGGTTTGCTTGACAACATCATGGTCTGCTGCCCATGATAATAGCAGCAAAACCGTGATCCTCACGCTTTCGTTTATTTTGCTCCCTTTTCGCCCTCTTCTGTCTAAATTTCAATCTCGGTGTCAAGATTACCTGCTAAGGTATGAAACATGATACAGCACGAGTAAACCTAGCGTGCATAAAATAACTCTAAGGATGGTACAAACCAAGACAAACGGTGCAAGACAAGTGGTATTAAGGTGTGTAATCTGTCCCAAATCAAACCCCTCACCCACACTTTAATGTTTGCTTATCCCCAAGCAAAAATGCTCAAACTAGTACAAATTGTAGGACAAAAACAATGGTACGCACTATCAATCACGGTGGTGCCTCAAAAATAATCAAAGTCCGGTAAAATTTATCACCATCTTTGTCAACTAAGGAAGTCTAGACACTTCACGTGTTCACTGAGGGACTCATAAAGAACATGTTAAAATTGATGAGATATATATATATATATATAAGTCGAAGCACACTCTAGTCACTCCTAACAAAGCCAAGTATAGGTAAGCTAGGGATGTAGTAAAGTGGCTCAGTCGTATTCCAAGGGAGCCTTAACCTTATTATTACTTCTCTCCGAACTACTATATAATCAAATCGGAAGGTTGGGTGAAGTATCTAATCTAACCTAACTAAAACCGAAAAACAGCCAAACAAGTTGTTGGTAGACTGCTAGAGGTGAGATTGTTGCCTAGGAATGAATTCCTCTAGCTATAGTTTTGGGTTTATACGATAGGATGCATAACTCTCTAATATGAGGATTTTAATAATTACTCTCCCTCCTCCGAAAACGGCCCACAAAGACCCAATGTCACCTCAGTCAAAGTTTATGTGCTAGGGATGCTCACTTAGTTCCTCTCAATAGGTTCAACCTATCATGAATACTATATCAGTGTTTCGATCAGAATGCGTACAACCTCTCTAGCATTGCTTTAGGAGGGCATTCCTATAGTGGGGGGTTTGGTCACCACGTCCACTAAGGAACCCTATGATCATTCATCTATCCTTAATTAGCCATATGGCGCTACCCAAGCACAATTAAGCATAAATAAAGCATATAATCGCTATAGCAAACATATCCATACATCAAACCTAACTATATACTAGTGTTCATCTTTCCTAAACAACCTTAGAGATTCAAGTCACAGAGAGAGAAAATACTGACAAGCTTTTACCAACACAACTAAACTACAATCAAGTATAATCATAATCTAGGAATGCATTATAGTGATTAAGGTTCTAAACGTCAAACCGGGTCCTAGGTATACAGGTTACTTGGTGAAATTCTATTATCTAGTCGTCGAAATTGGGTGAAGTTGATTGCAAACAAAAGTAAAAGGAAATCATGCAAATGTTTTGGTTTTCAAGTTTGAGAAAGAACCAATCTGGTAATTATTCCCCCTATCATGCAGTTAGTTCAAGTTGTAATTGACCCAATTCAACTCAATTGATATTTATACTGCAGAAGATCTAAAACTCACTTGGAATCGCTTAAGCTACCAAGCCCTCTTAGACACAGTACCCTCCGGGCGACTAACCTCTATCAGGATAAAATGTTAAGGCCGTAAACACTGATATCCTCTACTGGAATGATTCCCAGTACAGAACAATGAATCGATTGACTCTTGCACAATCGATTCACTACTTCCAATTGAGGTTGCTCTAATAACCTATTAAGAGACTATCGTTCCAGGTCAAAGCTGGAAAGATACAAGTTTGATAAAAACACAGATTTCTGAATAATTCGTCAATTGAATATATAAGCATCAATGTAATGGAGATGAGTTCATACAACTGCTCCTAACATACAAAAGACAACGCAATGCTGGAGAAGTTCCTCATCATGTAGATGAGAGGAATCGTCAATCAGTGCTCCTCAAGGAAGGAATCGAGCTCAAATGGACTTCGATTTCTCAAATCTACTCCCAAGGGTTGTTCTTCATCATTTTATCTCTCTAAAGCTCTCTTCTTTCGTTCTCAAAGGTAAAAATCAGATCCCTTTCAATTTGCTCGAGTCAGCCTTTTAAATGCTGGAGATTTGCGAGTTACTTCTAGATTTATGGTCGTAACTAGCTTCTCCATCCCGTAACTTCCCCAAATACGTCGTCGTGTCTACGCACCGTAAACCAAGAGTTACAGACTTCAAAGGGAAGTTACGGTTGAGGCTGTAACTTTGACACTTGGGCATTAACTTTGAAATGATCTCCTGCTTCTCTTGGTTGAAGTTACGGGCCGGACTAGGAAGTTACGGGCCAGGCTGTAACTTGGAAAGCCTGGCCGTAACTTTGCAATGGCTTCCTACTCATCAGCCTTGAACTTACGGGCTGGACAGGGAATTACGAGCAAGGCCATAAATCTCCCTTGCTCCACTACCAGTTCTCTCCAAATTGTCCCGAAACTAGAAAGCACCCATTTACATATCAGGACCTGAAACATCACAAACTAGCACAAACTAGCAAACAATAGGCCACAAGAGTGATAATGCAAGGTTAAACGGTCAAGAATTAGCAAGAAAAACATGTGCAAATTTGGTATTATCAAATTCCCCTACACTTAACCATTTGCTTGTCCCCAAACAAGTCTGAATGAAATCAACACAAATCACCAAACCTTTATAGCAACATGCAACCGCAATCATCGGGAGAAGACTTTCTTGCTCAACAGCTTACGAGGTAACCAATACACGAGACACCTCCTAGTTCTTTCAGCGAAAACTCTTGTCCCACGTCGGGATCATGCCAAGTACTAAACCTTGGACAAATGATTCATGGATAAAGAGACTCTCGGAACACACATAACCATGGACTCATCTTTCCGGGTGCTCTTTTCCCCTCCTTAGATTTGTTGGAGCCCCTTTTCCTTACTCTTTTATTTTTTTTTCCATTCATTTTCATTGGCGAGGTTCCAATCTGCAGTTTTCAAGGTCGACCCTTATTGGTTGAGCAAGAGAAATTTATGTATCTCTATCAATTGTTAGAGTACTTCTTTTTCTTCACCTCAATTCGTGTCGAGGGTCAATGAAATTAAGGGGGTTTGATAACTCTATCGTGCCCTGAAGAACACATCCTCTAGTAGGCAATGTAACTTTTACTTGTACTAGAGAGGAACTAGCATCACCTTATGGGAGTACCCCACTAAGGATCAACTAGTCTCTCTTCCAAAACTCGATTTAGTGTAATTAATGACCACACACACGTTGAGCTTACCCCATGTTTCAAAATCTGAGCATGGAGGACCAACTGGTTATTTTAAGCACACTTAGAGAACCCACACGATATACGAGTCCAAACACAAAGAGAAAGTCATCGATGCAACACGATTCAAGTGTCCTAAGATTACTAATTCACAAAATCAACCAACACAATATGAAGAAGAAAGGAAACTTCTAAATGCATCAACATCCTCCATAGTGCTACACTAACCTCCCTAGGTTGCATATTACTCTAAAGACTGGTGCTTCAAAGCATATTGAGCATGCAAATTGCAGGGACGAAGGTACTTAGAGCCCTCAAATATGAAGATTTGAACAGTGGATTAGGCTCCAAGCACAATCATAGAAGCCAAACAATCCAAAGATAAACACCCGCCACACTTAAGATCGAAATTGCCCTCAATGGAACACGCATAAAGAAGGGGAAAGATGTTACCAGGATAGTCATCAGGAGCAAACTGGAAGAGGAACCAGTCCGTGACAACAAAGGCTAATACGAAACAACAACTCACACTGGGTAAGAGTTAGAAGAACAATAGTCAGCCTAATGGGCACAAAAATAAGAAGAAAAAACCAAAACCAGAACACATAAATATCCAGTTTGACATAGGAATAACAAAAACACAAAACATATAACACAGTACTCGTGGTTAATGGTCATCCTCAAGCATCGCCTCCACCTTGGTATGGAGAAGGGTGCTAGAAGGTCTGGGTGTAGTTGACATTAGACTCCAAGCACAAGTGCTCCGGGAAGTGGGTGTAGTGCCGAACTTCGCGCTCACGGTCCAGGCGTGCCTCGATCTGGTCAAACCAAGCCTCAATGGCCGCCAACAGTCGTCAAACGATAGTATAGTGGCACAAGTAGTAAATATCGAATCCATAGGTCTCTAGAGTTACTATTACTCAGATTCAGTTCATTATCTTACAAACCAGATTAAGATATGAGAATTATAGCAACTCTAGCAAACTACAATTAAGTTAGTCTAATTATAAGTTGGGAACTCACTTAGGCATGATTCCCCCTAGTCTACAATTAGGCCAAGTTTAATTCACCCAATTATATACTACATTAGATCCGATACTAGCTTAGAATCTTTTAAGCCGACCAAGTCCTCTTAGACAAAGTACCCGACGGGCGACTAACCTCAACCAGAGTAAAATGCTAAGGCAATACACGAAGATCTCCACTACTGGAATGAATTCCAACATAGAGTAGTGAATTGATTGACTCTCTCGCAACCGATTCACTAGTTCCATGTTCCAATTGAAGATTGCTCTATTAACCTATTCAGAGACTATCATTCTAGGTCAAAGCAGAAATTTATAGGAATGTGATCAAGACTCATGCAATTATGAATAAACATCTCAATTGAATATATAATGTCAATCAATCATGAATATGAGTTCATAAAACTCCAATCCTAACAAACATATCTAGGGTTCCTCAAAACCTAAGTAAAGGGAAGTTACTCATAGAGAAGAGAGAGAATACATTATAACTTTCCAAATCTTCAATCTTTATGTCAAGGCTTGTTGAGCTTCTAAGGTGAAAATATCCTCCAATTACACTCCAAGATCTCCATCAAATCACCCTCTCTCTCTCTTTGGTTCGTCCCTTGGGTGTTTGGGAACCAAACCCCAGCTCCCCTCCTTCAAAAGCTGCAAAAAGGCATTTAAATAGCTTCTAGAGGCCAAGTTACGGCCGTAACCTTTGGGGTTCAGTCCGTAACCTCTGGAATGCTTTAGGCCTCCCGTGGCCCGAGTTACGACAAAAAATGGCAAAGTTACGGGCTAGGCCGTAACTTTCAAGGCTAGCCTGTAACTTGGTTGTAGCTTGTTGTTTCTCAATTTCCTTGTCTTTGATGTATGGGTCCTTTCTCCCTCGTCTGAACTTCGAATCAGTCGTCGTTTGATCCTTGACGCTCGTAGACTCGTCCTCTTTTTATTCATGCCGACGTTATATGATTCTTTATCAATAAAATAAGGTAGAAATCCATTATCCTCTGGCCATGCCCGAGTTTCTTCCTCCGAGTCGCCCAAAAATCTTCGATTTGATCTGTAACTTGCTCCTAAACTTCCATTCATGCTCTAGGATCTGAAATATGACAAAAGTGAACACAACCTAGCATTAAATAGGTCAAAGAAGTGATAATGCAAGCTTAAACAATCAAGAAACAGTGGGAAACACATGCGCAAATTCAGTGTTATCATCAAACAATAATAATTTGCGCCGACTTTTGTAGCTGGGCGGCAAAAAATCCCGAGTCTGGGATGGTGGTGCAAATATTCATTTTTAAAAATTGAAAATATTAATATAATATGAAAATACCTTTTAAGTCCTCATTAAATCATATAAGCTTCCCACCACATATTAATTTTTTTAAGGGGTTGACTACAATTAATGTTGATTTTTTAAGAGAGGGGCACGCTTGTCATTTTCAAAAATCGTAATGGGAACACGAAGGCCAATAATGGACATTTGGCAAATTTGAGTCGATCAAGTGGCTTCATCCAAGCTACGATACAGAAGAAGAACGAAACAAAGTAATGGACCACAAGTGTAGTGGCTTCATTAAAGTCGACCGAAAAATGCAGACAAAAGATACAACAAACAACACCACAAACAACATAAACTAGACTAGAAAGCTTATAAAAGCATAGCAGAACCTAACCACACCACAAAAATCATAAACTTGACCATAAAACTCAAACTTGACCGCAAGTTTTCTGAAACTTGCCACAACTCTCATGAATCTGACCAAAAAACTTTACTAGACCAGAAACACTACAAATTACACCACCGAACTCATAAAGTATACTAGATACTTTATTAAGTGTACTAGAAAAATGTAATAAGCACACCATAAATTTGACTACAAGCCTAAAACAAACCAGAATAATAATAATAAAGCTTACCTATGTTTACTGAAGTAGACAAGACCTCATAATGTTGACCACAACTCTTATGAAGCAGACCAGAAAAATGATGAAGGAAACCAGAAACCTCATAAAGACGATGAACTCCAATTATCGGCATTTGGTCGGCGCACCCCATTCTTGTTTAAACTTCCATGTTGACGCATATCACCACCTTTTCATCTTTCCATCTTAAGTCAGTGTTGACTTACCTCTTGCAACTACAAGATACAAAATGAGCTTTTTCATATATTAACTTAATCAAGAACAATCTTCGAAATCAGTCGAGTGACCAATTTTTGATAATTGTCTAGTTGTGTATATAAAAAAGGTTTAGTTTGCAACATAAGCCACTATGTAATTAAGAAACCTTTCACAATATGAAAATTCGTCGTGGTTATGCGTAAAAAAAATTGTGAAAGTTATGATTAATTATAATGTTCATTTTTATTAATTAATTATTTTATTTATATATAACTTATTTTTATCGGGCAATATATCTATCCAAGAATCCTGGGTTCGCTACTAGTAAAAATATCAATCAATAATGTTTTATTAAATGCAAGTTATGAATGAGAGACAATCCATAGTTGACCACAAAAAATCGACAAGGAGACTGAAAAATGAAGTAAAGGAAGCATAAATTAAATTAGTGAGTGCAATTGGATGATCTTAGTTTACGTGAAAGTTTTTTTTCTTAATTTTTTTGTGATAAAATAGCGAACTAGTAAACCCGGTGTGGTTGAACTAGTCTCATGTCAAACCATTAAAATTCGCTCGGTTAATCACTGCCCAATCAAATGGACCGAATCTTTATTGTAACTGATTTAGTGGGTGCAAACCATTGAACTGCGGTGCTGCAACTATTATTATTATTATTATTATTATTATTATTATTATTATTATTATTATTATTATTATTATTGCGCTGCCGCAATTATGATTTTTCTATTTATGTAGTGATGCTCTACTGATGTTGAACGCTTAAAGCCGGTAATGCATGGAAACGGAATTAATGTTGGATAAGCATAGAGGGGGGAACCGGGAGAGGCGGCGGAGCTCAGGCAGAAGGATAGCTGGTACCAAAATATGATCATCAGTTATTATTAGCATAGTACTAATATAGAGGGTGCACCTTATCCAATTGCAAAACAGATTATACTGCACAATACATTTATCCAAATTCCAAAAAACAAAAATCATAAAATAAAACTTCTAATAATCTTCTAATTTCTTATTCCTGCACTTAAAATGAACTCAGCACTGACTAAACTACCTGTCATCCCCTCCCTATGAGCTCTTTACTTGGACCCAAAACCAAATAAATCGGTCTCCTAAACTACCTGTCATCCGTCGGCACTCCATTTGAGAAGAAAAAACCAACCGACAGACATTGTAAATTATGCCCCAGTAGGGGGGAAAATAGGGGATGAGTTAGCTTGGTTACTTAATTTTTAGTAATCACAGTGGCTACCTTAATCTATCTCATTAATTATTTCTTTTTACCCTAATTTTAAATTAACGATGAAGATTATATTAGGGTAATTTTGGAATTGAAAAATATACTACACCTGATTACTCTATAAATTATATCCAAACCCTACCCTATTGCAACCCGCCGCCAACCACCAAGCTCCCTCCCCGTTACCTCCCGCGACCCTCATCCCTCCCGAGAACCTCCTCCACCGCCCTCCTCCCTTCCCCTCCTCTCTCGCATCTCCCATCCCTAGCATACCCCTCTCTCTCCTTTTCCTTGTTTAACATATAGAATCCCTCCATTATCGCTTTCTAATTCGATCCATTTCCGCCCCTTCTTAGAACCCTAGAAGTTTGCATCGCGCCCGACGCCCGAACCCCTGCTTGTTTGCTTCTTCCTCTCTGGGGGGTTCAGGGCTGGTTGCGCTTCTGTGATTGTTTGGAACTCTGGTGGTCATTTCAATTCCTTGACGCCATGAAACGTGGGTACACGGGTTCTCCGTCCAACTCTGGCTGTCCTCCTAAATCCAGATTGAAGCACTCCGCTGAAGGTAAGGATCGTTTCTGTTTTTAAGCTATTTGATTGCTGAACATGGTTTCTGTTCCCAATCGGGGATTGGGCACGTTTCAGGTACTGAATTTTTTTTGCTTCTCTCAACAAGTTACTAACTTTTCTCATTTCTTCTCTGTTTCTGATGGACTATATTTGCTTTGTTAATGGCAATTGGAAGGAGGAAGGAGGAATTCCATTGGAATGGTATGTTTTTTTTTTAAATGGTAGTCATTTTTTTCCGTAGTGATTTTTTTTAAATGGTAGTCATTTTTTTCGTAGTGGTAGTGTTATTGTCGTATTGGTATAGTTTTTGTCGCATTGGTATTATTTTTGTCGCATTGGTATTGATTTTGTCGCATTGGTATTGATTTTGTCGCATTAGTAGTGATTAAATCTGCAATGGTATTGATGTTTTGTGAAATGGTTGTGTTTTTATTTCTTGAATGGTATTGATGTTTTGTACAATGGTAGTATTTTTTTTAATGGATTGGTATTGATTTATTATTTTTTTGTTGCAGTGGTATTAGTTTTGATGAACGAAATCAAGGAAAGATTGAGAAAAAGAAGGAAGAGAGATCTTGCTGAAAAAATTGTGGAAGTGAGAGAAAGAGAGAGAGAGAAAAATTGTATTTAATATATTTATGTAATTTCCTAAAATGTAATTTATTAAAAAAATCATTAATAAATTTTTTGTTATACCCAATTTGCCCTTAGTAACCACGGTGATTACTATAAAATAGTAATCACCGTAACCTGTCCCGGGAAAATAACAAAGACAAAATACCTGAAGAAGAAAACCAGAAAAGGGTAATAATAAATCTCAACAGATAAATAACCTGCTGTGCCTGTGATACAGCTCGTGAGCACATCATGCCCAGAGGATGCCGTCGACCCCAATTTCCAGATTGGAAACTGGACTATCTCCAAAATCTCCATCCACAACGGATTGACCCTCTTCAACATTGCACTCCACATATGGCTGTAACAGATCTTGAGATCTTTCACAGGGTATCCCATAATCTTGGAGAACCTGTGATGAAGAACCCACAGCTGCTTCCTTCTCCAACACAACCAAGTAATTGTCTTCGAACTCGAAAACCATGTACTTGCCTGTGCATGCTGATCAATGGTGAAACCCGAGTGTGAGAGAAACAAATAGTTTTGTTCGTGTTTGTTGTGAGAGTGGATTTGGGAGTATTTTGTTGCACAAGGGTTGACTGAAATGAAAGATCAAATAGTTTTTGCTACCTGTTGATTGCCCATATCCTCGTATCCAATGTTGACTTCATTTGCTAACACCTACAAGTTTAAAAAAAAAAAAAAGAATCAAACTAAAACAGTAAGCTGGATACAACTTCCCCACCCGGAAGAACAATTCACAACGCAAAGGGATCATTTTTCTTTTGCATTGGAATCACCTCCATCGATTCAACTCGATGGTACCTGTTGGTGCATCCACTTGATCAAATAACCAATTTCCCAATCAAATGCAGCTGTCCAACATCCAATTTCTACCTTTAAAACCTAATCTCAAATTGATATAGACCATACTTCACTTCTTTCTTTTGCATTCCCAGTTCTAGAGGCGTTCTGTAATGTGAAATGCCAAAACCTCATGGAATCACATCAGTTATTAACACTCATACTTTCAAATACCAATAAAAGATCAAAAAGTTGTGAGACTGCTTAATTATTTCACTATCATTCTACTCTTTGCTTATGATCACAACTCAAACAGATCTCTTGCCAATTGAATAACATAAGCAAGGGTGTATAAAGTTTAAATGTCGTAAGAAACCAAAAGAAGAAGTCTCGATCTCATCAAAATGTGGGTTAGGGTGAGCTAGTTCACCTGAGATAGGATCACAATTTGTTCTCCTTTAAACTTCGCCGACGAGTAACGCGCCTTTGTTAAAAGCTTCAACTGTAAAAGAAAATAGATTCATCGGAAAACAAGCATCAGAGCACATATAGTAAGAAACTGTTAACTTAGATTAGTTTGGAGAACTTAGAGCATACTCCGATGGAATCTTCACATTCGTCACTGCATTCCATGAACAGTATAGTAAGTTTAATAATGAAGAGACAACAAAATAAATGAACAATGCATGCCATCACAGGGATTGACTATGAGTAAAATTTCTTACAACAGGAAGGAACACATACTCTATTAGTGGTTCCGAGAGAGGAGTAAAAACTAAACCAGCGGTTATCAAGTAAGAAGGCTGACCGCCATCTACATGATAAGGCACCTTAAAAGGGAGCAACATAATAATGCAAGTTAGGCTGTAAACACAATACCCTAAAGCTAAGGACTAGTTTCAAGTTCCCATGTCTTACCAAATGAACTCTTGGATTTAGGACCACTTGAACTTGCATGGATTCACCGTTTCTGATAATACCAAGCTCTGCTACATCACCTGCAAATCTTTATAAGAGCATCGATACGTATTCAAAGATGAAAGAACTGATTATATATCAATTCAAGCAGAAAGAAGAACAAGAAGGCAGGCCAGCACAAACAATTATTTGCCAAGCTAAAAATACTTTACTTTTGACTAATAAGGAAACGGAATGCAATGCGCTCATTTGACCGGAACGGCACAGTTCCTTCACACCCTACTTTAACGTTATCAAAGCTCACAATCACATCACCCTGAAAAAGAAAATAAAAGGAATAAATATCCTCAGTATTTGCGGGTTATGCCCCAGGGTTTGACATGTTCTTCCCAAAAACTTAAGTAATAGTTTGGGACTGCATAAAGCATGACCAGGTTCAGAAAACTTTCTATGTCACACTAAATTCAAACACTCTATTAAATCTGTTAAAAGGTTTTCTGGGTATCTTTCCCAGAAACCAAATTTTATGCAAATCAGTAGGGTTTGAACAAAAATAGCAAGCATACCTCTTTTAACACTCTATTTGCATCAGACGTTGGTTCAACTCTCCGTACAAGCACACCCTGCACAACACAGATTAGTTACTCTCAACCAGATACATTAAAGTGGCAGTACGACAAGGATGGTACCTGACTACATGGAACTTTCAAACACTCCCTTAGTGCTGGGTTCTCCAACTTTTGCAGTAATACACCAAGCGAAGGAAAGCCTGTAAGTCACGTGTTAAGAGGTTACACCGGACCTCGTAATATACATTTATGGTTACGTGATTAAGGTTATAATATGTTTCTGGGGTCTGCTTATATAATAACAAGTTCTAGTCAGATTATATCATTCAAATCACAGGATAATGAAGCAGGTCTAGCAGATCAGCAATCTATGTGAAAAGCATCCTGAGATACAACTGTTCAGAAAATCTTAAGAGGATTACAGGAATATACATATCAATCAGCAATTGCGGGATATGCTTGTTTAAGAAAATTTGGAAAAAAAAAAAAAATAGTGTGTACAATATTAATGGTGAAAGATATACTGGTAAATTACCAGTGTATTTCTGATTCCTCTCATAGTCACTCAAGAAGTGAGTGACCACAGTTGTTGGAATGACATATCCAATATTTTCAGCCTCTTCAGATCTGTAAACCTAAAGGAAGGAGCTCGTCGTTGGAAATTGTAAAGAGAAACTGAAGTACAATAATGAACGTCTGCAGGGAACACAATGAAATATGACAATGTTCATCTTATATCTAAGGACATATTTCCGATAAAAAAGAAGAGAACAATGGACATCACCCTTAACTTGAATCAAGGACGTATAGGAAAGCACAATATCAGGTTTTTTATGATTAGTTCCAAACACAAAGAAGTTACAAATAAACTTCAACAGCACACAAGAGAAACTACCTGGAACGCCACACCAATGCACTCCCCACGGTCATTGAATGCTGGACCACCACTATTACCTATAACCTAGCAAGCATAAGCAGCGGCCATCACAGAGATATAGAATAAAGCCTTGCAAAATATATGTTAACAAGATCAAATTGAAAAGAAAGAGCTTAGAAACAATAGTGATGGCTACTGACCAGGATTTATGGCTGCATCAATTTGAATGCCAAGTAAATCAGATGATCCATGTGCATACGAAGTAACCTGACAATGAGTTAACTGGACTCAGCAACTTGGTACTCAGAATTTAATTAAAAGAAACCGTTTAGTAACCATCCAACAAGAAATTACTGTCGGAGAAAGTAATTGGATTTCATACACGAAGTCAGAGCCTACCTCTATCCGTGATACAACTCCCTTTGTCACTGAAATAGTATCGCCTCCAAGTGGATATCCTACTACAGTTACTGCTTCCTGCCCTCCAGAAAGGGAAGAAACGCATAATCAGAAAGCATGCACAACCAAAAATATAGAAAATGGCAAAAGAAGTGACTTTGACCTGTAGATGGGGCAAGTGACCCAACTGTAATGGTTCAGCCCCCTCCCAAAATTGCTCACTTTCAACAGCGAGCAAAGCAATATCACAATCAACACCCCTGGCCAACACCTGTTTATTATGTCATTAACGGAACCATGAGTTGCAGTAGCTACCAGTGCTTCATATACACATGCACAAATCAAACATCAAGAAAACGAGAGAATTCACGAAGTGTGTTATGTTAGCAACTCATATGATTAGGAACTGATCCAAATATCCAATCATGTGATATCACTAAAACACATATTTGTAAACAATCACATACAGTGGCGGAGCCAGAAGATCAGATCAAGGGTGTCGTTTTATATGATTTAAATATAAAAATAAAATAAATGTTATATATATGTCAGAGTAATTCCTTCATGAAAAAAGCAATTAATAGAAGTGACATTTTGAATAAACAACTCTGACATGTTTTCGTATCTCAAAGATTGCAAGCAACATTCATTGTTTATACTCTAAAGTAAGTATCTTTCAATGCACCCCACTAAGTTTATTTAATTGTCAATAATTATCGAAATTAACTTTATTGTTTATAATACTTCATGTACGAACATAGAAGTCTAGTGTTTGAATCTCTTATATGCATGGGGATCAATAACTTTTCCCAAAAATTTAAGGGTGTCAGCTGGGCTGGCTCCGCCTGTGATCACATTGTGAGTTTCTTAACCCACTTCAAGGCTGTAGGCTCTTAGGCCTATGCACGTTAATACGTTATTGAGAACGAAAGAGTATAAAATTGAAAAGTACTTTTTGCTTAAAGGGATTTTTTTTATGTTTCAATAGGATTGAATACCTTGGCCACATATTTGGTGTCATCTCCCCTTCTCTTCACTTTGACCTGTCATCAAAATTCATGAAAGAATAAAGATTTCATGTTTACTCATATGTCATATTACAGATAATACGTGAACAATTATTGGAAGCAAAAGTTTTTACTAAAATAAGAAACTTTTGTACCATCATGACAATATCAAAAAAATACCATGGCAACGTAGTGTATCATGATCAATAAATCTGACAGTACTTGGAGAAGCAACAATATCACAACCCACTTATCTCAGATCCTAGGTCCCCTTAAGGGGGTTGAAATAAAAAGGTGCAGCTATAGAAATCGCAGCAGAAATTCATGAACAATTAGTTATGATTCCTTATCATTCACCACCTACTCTTCTTGCTTAAGGACACATATTGAGCACACTCTCACTTCAGCTCATGTTTCCTACCCCGTGAAATCATCATGATCACCGTTGCAAGTATGGAATGTTCAGACTTTTCTCGGTCTCTAGCAACATCAAATGGTGACAATAATGAACACAAAAAGGACACTTTGAAACGCCATGGCATGAATTTGGAGATCGAACTACCTGTGTTTGATATTCGACACAGTGTGCATTTGTTAGAAGTTTCCCGTTCCCTATCATAAAAGCACTGCAACAGGACATAAAACGAAGGCATAAACCCAGAGGCACCACATAAAACTCGTGGTTCAAATCATACCAGAAGTGAAGAAAAGTTGAATTGAGTAGGAAGTTATTTGAACTTCACCTCCCAGTACTTGTAAATTGCCTTTGTTTTTGCCACGGGAGAGAATAATCAGGTGCCGTGTGGGTGCAGTAAACCTGGAAAAACAAAGAGCTTCAGAGAATTGGGAAAAGCTGTGATTTGTGATAAAAAAGAAAAGACACCACATAGGAAATGCACTGACCCTCCATTTCCATTAAATGAAAGGGTGGGGTATTATCTAACCTTCACTACCGCATTTAGGAAAGCTGCACCCTGAAGGTTACCAGCTCCGACCTGCATTAGTACCAACACCACACATCTGGATGACGATTATGATGCAAGAGCTAAACGAGAACGCAAAACAACATAGGAGCTCTTATGATGGACTCGCAGAATTCTCATTTTAAAATTGAATGCGAACATGGAAGTCAGAAGAAAGGTATCGAACGTACCGGTTGTTCCTTCAAATCAAATTGAAAGCTCTTGTTATCTTTTCTCTGTGCTCCAAATGGCTTAGCATTGCCACTTTTGGCATCGGCATGGAAAGGAGAAGACCTCTCGTCTTTTGCTCTACCAGCAGATTTCTTCTGAGAAACGGCCTCTCTCTGAACGCCACAATTCAAATAAATACCCAACAAGACATTGCAAACACGGACAAAAACACCGAAATT